TGACGGCCACAACCAAAAAACAGCCCGGCGTTGTGGTGGGTGCCTGTAGTCCCAGCTACTTGGGAGGCTGAGGCAAGAGACTCGCTTGAGCCCAGGAGTTGGAGGTTGCTGTGAGCTGTGATGCCACAGCACTCTACCCAAGGTGACAGCTTGAGGCTCTGTCTTTAAAAAAAAAAAGAAAAGAAAAGAAAGAAATATATTTTGCTTACCAGTAGTATATTTAACATTTTTGTATGGACATTCCTAAGACTGGTTTTACTTTTTAAATTTTGTTTTATGATTTTTATTTTTTAGTGGTAGAAGACTTATGTCCTTTCTAAGTTAAATTATGTCACTTTCTTATAAGGCAAAAATACAGGATAATGAAAATATTTTATTTGCTCCATTGTTCTGAAATTTAGTATGCCTTAAGTGCATGCTATGAAGATCATCCTGTAGTACGTAGAAGAAATAATTGATTTCGAGTTGAATTTAAACCACCTTTAAACACTTTCATATTTTATATGTGACTTTTTAATACATCTGTTTGATTTCTTTGCATTTATTGTTAAACATTATTAATATATCAAAAATCATAAATAATCTTAGAGATGCAGGACAGACATTACAGTCATTGCATGAATTCATCCTCTTTCTTGAAAGGGTTTAAAAACTTCAAATGTAGTTTGTCTATTCTCTCAGGTTCAAAGATTATTTGGAATATGAATTTCACTATTAATAATTCACCATAGTGACATAACAATAAGGATATTGTGGAATATCACATAACAATAAGGAATTATGTGGAACAATTCTTATTTATTATACATTAGCATAAATTATCTTTGTAAGGACAAACTATTTTGCAAAGTGTAGATGTTCTTGTATTCAGTATATTATTTATGCACTTTCATAAGTCAGTGCACACCAGATCTAAATCCTTTTTAGCAAGGTTGAGAAAAATAATATAGTATGAACTCAAGGCACAGTGTGACACTGTCTACTTTCTAATGATAGCAGATCAATAATTATTAACAGTCTAATCACTCTTACGAAACTGACAATGTAAGTATATGAAAAATAAAACAGTTGTCCTTCTTAAAAAGTTTACCATCTAATAAGAAGCTGAAATATTATTACATGGGTTAGGAAAGAGGTAGAATTTTTTTTTACATTAAAATAGCAGTATAGGCAGGGTGCATGTTGACTCACAGCTGTAGTAATCCTAGCACACTGGGAGGCTGAGGTGGGCAGATCCCTTGAGCTCAGGAGTTGGAGACCAGCCTGAGCAAGAGTAAAACCCTGTTTCTACTAAAAAGAGAAAAATTATCTGAGCATTGTGGTGGGCACCTGTGGTCCTAGCTACTCAGGAGGCTGAAACAGGATGCTCAAGCCCGGGAGTTTGAGTTTACTGTGAGCTAGACTGATGCCACAACACTCTAGCCATCAGAGGGGCATCAGAGTCAGATTCTGTCTCCAAAAACAAAATAAAATAAAAATAATAAAATAAAATACAGCAGCATACCTACAGCCATATTTAGTTCTGATTCATATTACATCCTTAATAAACAAAACAAATGTGAATAACTTGTGAGTATTAAAGCTCATGATTAATAAGAAAGTGTTTATTTATGTGAATATATATATATGCATCTGTAAATGGATGTGCATGAGTGTGTGGGTGTCTTTAGGGAATTATTAGGTATATAGATTAAAATTCTCTTTTCCACTGATTAATAATTTGAAATAGTAGCAATTTCTTAAAACTTTCTGTAACATAGTATAGCTCCTAAGCAACCAGAGTACTATCATTATTAAATAAATTAAATGTATAGTTTTTTCTATTTAGCCTTTATGCTTTTGATTGCTTAATATTCTTTGAAACACAAAACTAACTTACAATCTTACCGCTATAATTGCTATGACTTCTGGGAAACTTACTTTTCTAAGCTAATTCTTGTAATTAATGTCTCAGATTCTTCAGCAAGGTTGCACTGGTATAAAACCATACTGGGAATATCCGGAGCTGTAAATGGTATTCTGGCTTTGACTTTGTTCTCCCTGATCCTGTTGGGTAAGTTACATGATCTTAATAAATAAAAAATAGATGTTTACATTTCTTTTAAGAATCTTTTCATATTTATCCAGTCAGTCTTGATTATATTAGCCAAGATTTAGTAAGAAGCTATTTCATGTAAAGCCTTATATTATACTCCACATTTAATATGTAGTCAAATCAGATAAGTAACTTGTTCTTCCTAGTTTAATAGGGAGAAAAGGGTGTGTGTGTATGTGTGGTATTTGGAATCAGTTTTCTGGATTTCTTAGGTACTTGTGAAAAGGTAAAGTTTCACTTTTTTCTTAAATATTTTAATATATTTTATGTAGGTTGTATTTAATGTATTCAGCTTTTGTCCAAGAAATATTTACTGAACAAATACAATGCTCCAAATTATTACACATTCTCCAACTATTTAGAAAAAAAGAATAGAATAGTGGTGAGGAATCTCATATTCTAGTGGGAAAAACAGATGTGAAGTAAACGTGATCCAATGTACTAAACACATCAGAGGGTTCAGCAAACTATTAAGAAAACATAGAAAGAGTCTTTGTATCATACTTCCTAGAACAGAAACTGCTTTATTTACTGTTTTGTCACCAGTTTTAGGGAATGCCCGACACATTCTCCAATATGTGTTCTATAAAGGGATTAATCATGTAACATCTGAAATTAATTTTTGTTAGTAGACAAGAACATTTTTTAAAAATTCTAGTTATCCCTTCAATTGTATCTTGTTTTCTTAGTAAATGTTAGACAGGAAGCAAAATAGCATTAAGAAGATACTTACCTAATCATAAAATAATACTATATTCAAGTTTCTCAAGGAGTATTGCTAAAATGCCAGAAAGGAAACAACTCAAATGCCACCCAGTATGAAGATATTGGAAACCTGAAAGTGAATAATGACACAAGAGGAAATGTGAGCAATAAAGGCACAGGCCACTGTATTTCAAGAGCTACAGACCAGATGGGTATGTCTCAAGGCCTTGGCCTGTATTCATTTTAATCTTTTAGAATTTCTATATTTAAAAATCCAGTTGAATAGGTATGCAATAGATTAAATTAACAAATAAATGTTGGACATAAGTGTACTCTTCATCTAAAACTTCATTCAAATATTTTTTATTTTTTGCAATGGGAGAAGAACAGTAAATCATAACAAAAGAAATAGGTTCTGCCCTCCAAGAATTTAAAATCAAGTTCAGACATATAAATATGGAAAGTCAATTATTTTTATTTAAAAGCAGTATATAAATAACTATTCTTATTTGTCATTTATTAATTTTTTTCTGAAATACAGAATGGATAAAAGTCATTATATATAATAAATTATCCCTTGTGAATTTAAGTTGAGATTTTTAATCTTAGAAATTCCAGTCAGAGATTTTTGAAAATATTACCTTCTACTTTCAGTTTTTTTAGTTCAACATTTTAACACTTAATTCTTTGAACATTTTGAGGTTTATTTTGTTGCGTGATATCTTATAACTTATATATTATTTATCAAATAATTTTTCTCTAATGTACTAGTTTGTGCTGCCCTCTTTATCATATATGAAAATTTCTTATATTCTATAGTCTATTTATTGATGCTGTTCTTTTGGATTATTTATTTTACATTTTTAAGTCTAAAACCAATTGAAATACTGTAATATTTTAGCTTTACCATGTACTTTATTGTCTGACAATCCGTAATGTCTGTCCTTAGCAATGACACCCATTGTAATGCAAAGGTAAGGCAGCTTTGTCAGGTAAACATGAAATTGCATACATGCCATTTGATGTTCATTAAAGCAGGTCTAAGTACTGTGTATTAAACTATAAGAGATTTACTCCTTTTTTTTTTTTTTTTTTTGATTTACTCCTTTTTATTCTTCTTTTTAAATTAAGGTAAAATTCACAAATAAAGGTAAACATTTAAAAGTATACAATTTGACCAGGCAAGGGGGCTCATGCCTCTAATTCTAGCACTCTGGGAGGCCAAAGTGGGAGGATCCCTTGAGCTCAGGAGTTCAAAAGTAGCCTGAGAAAAGTGAGACCCTATCTCTACTAAAGTAGAAAAAATATATATATATGCAGGGTGTTGTAGTAGGTCCCTGTCGTCCTAGCTTCTTGGAAGGCTGACACAGGAGGATTACTTGAGCCCAGGAGTTCGAGGTTGCTATGAACTACCATGAGGCCATGGCACCCTAGCCTGAGCAACAGTGAGACTCTGTCTCAAAAATAAAAATAGAGAAATAAAAGCATACAATTTTATATTGCTAGAACATTCAAATGTTGTGCAATTCCCATGTCTATTTAGTTGCAAAACGTTTTCCTGACCTCAAAAAGAAACTGCACTCATACTTTTCCTCCTGGCCTCTGACAACCACCAATCTGGTTTTTGTCTGTATGTTCTGCATTTTCATAAAATGGAATCATAAAATATTTGATCTTTTGTATTTGGCTTCTTTCCCTAGCACAATGTTTTCCAATTCCTCCACATTGTGTTTTATTCCTTTTTATTAATGAATATTCCATTGCATGTGTATATAATTACATACAACGTGTGTGTATACATATACACACACACACCATAATTTATTATATATTCATCTGTTCCTGGACACTGGCTTGTTCTCATTTTTTGCTATTGTGATTGATGGTGCTTAAAATTATTTGTGTACAACTATGTGTTTGAATACCAATTTTCAGTTCTCTCAGGTATACCTAGGAGTGGAATTTCTGGGTCATGTGATACTTTTTGAAGAATCACTAAACTGTTTTACACAGCACCTACACCATTCTGTATCGCCAGCATGACCATATGAAGGTTTCAATTTTTAGCTTTTTGAAGAATCTCATAGGAATTGGAATATGTTAGGAATTGGAACAATAGAGTCAACAATAAGTTATAGTATACTTTAAAATAAGTAAAAGAGTGAAGTTAGAATTTCCCTAACACAAAGAAATGATAAATGCTTGAGGTGATGGGTATCCCCATTATCCATATTTGATCATTACACATTGTATACCTTTCTGTATCAAAATGTAACATGTATTCCATAAATATATACAACTATTATGTACCCATAATAATTTTTTTCAAAAACCATACACAAAACGTGATCATATTATATGATCTCATTTATATGAAAGACCCATCATAGTCAAATCTATAGAGACAGAAATGAGACTAGTGGTTGCCAGTGCCGGGAGATCAGAGGATAGATAGTGACTGCCTAATGCTTATGAGGTTTCATTTAGCAGTTATGAAAATGTTTTAGAATTAAGATAGTAGTGATAGCTGTACAACATTGAGGACGTATTAAAAACCACTGTAGTTACACTTTAAAATAGCTAAAATATTGAATTTCATGTTATGAATTTTATTATACCTCAAAGAAAAAAAGAAAGAATATAACGGTCCACATGTTAAAATAGTTATATTTGCCTGCTTGTGTACTTTTTTCTATATACCTCACTTTTTCTGAGCTTTATGCCAAAAACGTCAATATTTTCCATTGAGAAAACCTAAACTTATTTTTTTTTTCCTTAACACATAGTTTTACTTTGTCACCCTTGGTAGAATGCTGTGGCATCACAGCTCACAGCAACCTCAAACTC